TGAGCATTTTATTTATTAATAACTTGATTTCTGTTGCATGAAAAACAGAAAATGAGGCTCGGACGAAGGAAAATAATGTGTGAACAAACGATTGCAATAGTTAGTTTTATTAAATTGCCATTTGAAGTACTTACAATAATAATTATTCATACTTTGATTTTTTATTTGTTAATAACTTATTTCTGTTGGTTGGACAAACGAAAATAAAGCTTGGACAAACGAAAATAATGTGTGGACAAACGATTGTCATGTTTAATTCGTATGAAATGAAGTAAGGTTGTCCCCAAAGACCACCTGTATTATTTCTTTTATTTTTAAATATCCCGGTTTTTTAAATATGCTATAATTTTGTTTTGAAGGGTGAACTAACAAACATTTGGCTTGGCCAAACGAAAATAATGTATGGATAAACGATTGTCATGTTTAATTCGTATGAAATGAAGTAAGGTTGTCCCCAAAGACCACCTGAATTATATCTTTTATTTTTTAAATATCCCGGTTTTGGGGAGTGGACAAACGAAAATGTTGGTTGGACAAACGTGGACAAATCGTGAATAATCGAATGCCACATGGAAATTATCAAAAAGTTTTTATGGCGGTGCTGTGAAATTTGACTAAAATTTTTAAATATGCTATAATTTGTTTTTAAAGGGTGGACAAACAAAAATTGGGCCTGGACAAACGAAAATAATGTGTGGACAAACGATTGTTGTGTCTAATTCGTATGAAATGTATTAAGGTTGTCCTCAAAGACCACCTGCATTATTTTTTTATTTTTGTAAATATCTCGGTTTTGAGGGGTGGACAAACAAAAATTTTGATTGGACAAACGTGGACTAATCGAATACCACTTTGAAATTATTAAAAAGCTTTTATGGCGGTGCTGTGAAATAAGGCTCAAATTTTTAAATATGCTATAATTTTGTTTTGAAGGGTGGACAAACAAAAATTGGGCCTGGACAAATGAAAATAATGTGTGGACAAACGATTGTTGTATTAATTCGTATGAAATAAAGTAAGGTTGTCCCCAAAGACCACCTGCATTATTTCTTTTATTTTTGTAAATATCTCGGTTTTGGGGGGTGGACAAACGAAAATTTTGGTTAGACAAACGTGGACTAATCGTGGAAAATCAAATACCACTTTAAAATTATCAAAAAGCTTTTATGGCGGTGCTGTGAAATTTGGCTCAAATTTTTAAATATGCTATTTTGTTTTGAAGGGTGGACAAACAAAAATTTGGCATGGACAAACGAAAATAATGTGTGCACAAACGATTGTCATGTTTAATTCCTATAAAATGAAGTAAGGTTGTCCCCAAAGACCACCTGCATTATTTTTTTTATTTTTGTAAATATCTCGGTTTTGGGGGGTGGACAAACGAAAAGTTTGGTTGGACAAACGTGGACAAATCGTGGAAAATCGAATATTACTTTGAAATTATCAAAAAGCTTTTATGGCGGTGCTGTGAAATTTGACTGAAATTTTTAAATTTGCTATAACTTTTTTTTGAAGGGTGGAAAATTTTTGTTGGACAATCGTGGACAAATCGTGGACAAACGAGTGGCAATTTATATTTATAAAAATTCGGATTTGGCGGTGCTAACTTCACGGACCTCACAATAGTCCATCTGGGTCGCAGTAGAAGGCGATGAGATCATTCTTAACCTAACCTCGTGATAATCGACTGACTTTTTAGATTCAAAGAGCAGAAGTTAATCATGTATAAATCTGCTACTACAGGTCAACCATTCTAGCTTGGCCTATGAGATTTGGATGCGCAGTAGCCTAAAGCTCAGTCCCGCTCAGGAGTCAGGAGCTTAGTTTAACCGGTGCATTCGTCTTGTTCACATTGCCTAAGTACAGTCCGCAGAGAAAGTTTAAAACTTAAAAACGTAAAAAATATACTTTTTTAAAAGTGCTTAATTTTAAAATGCCGTTTACAAGTTAAGTAAAAAATAAAATATTATTTGGACAAAGTCGTTAGATAATTAGTAATATATTGAATTTTATGCAAGCAGAAGTAGTCACTGGAGAAGTTACAATTCCTCTCGCAAAGGTAATTTTTTAACGTTAAATTTTTTAATGAATTAGTTTTATGTTTCTGTATTATATTGTTTTAAACCCCATAGTTTTAAATAGATTTTGATACTAAATATTTTTATAGGTTCAAGAACGTGTTGCAGCAGCAACGGGTGTTTCCATTAGGAATATTCGACGGATTAAAACCGAAGCGAAACAAGTTGAAACGTGACATTCAACAAAATTTTCAACCCCTAATAAAAAGAAAGTAAACAGAAAAGTTAAAACTCTTCTTGACGACGGAGATTTAGCAATTTTGCGAAGAACAATTAATCACCACATAACAGAAAAGACGGTTCTACCTTAAGGACAGTTCATAAAAAATTTGCAGAAGATAATGGCTACCAAGGTTATGCAAAAACGTTGCAAAAAGAAATTCACAAAATTGATTTTCGGTGGAGAAAATTTCAGAATAATCGTCGAATACTCATGGAACGTTAGCCCACTAGACTGTTTAGAATTAAACTTCTTAGAAGGATGCGTCAGTACCGAAAAAAAAAATCGTCCTATGATATACATGGACGAGACGTACATTCACTCGTCACACACTCATGGAAAGGGATGGCGCAATGAAACTGTAGAGGGCTTACAAAAACCAATAGACAAGGGTCTGCGTCTTATTATAGTGCACGCAGGTGGCGAAAATGGGTTTGTTCCTAATGCCTATATTAGATGGAAATCAAACAGCAACAGTAGCGACTACCATCATGACGTGAATATCGAGAACTGCAAAAAGTGGGTTTCGGAAAAACTCATTCCCAATTTGGAACAAAAAAAAGTGTTGTGATAATTGACAATGCCCCATACCATAATGAAAGCGGAAATGCAAAAATGGTAATGGCTTAGAAGTATACTTTTTGATAATAAAATGTTAAAACCACAACTTTACGGCTTAGTAAATAATCACAAACCAAGGCACAAAAGATATGAAATAGACCAGCTTTTTAATTCAAAAGGCCACGATGTATTGCGACTGCCTCCATATCATACAGATCTGAGTTGGTTTGGGCTGAAATGAAAGAGTATATCTCCAAAAGGAACGTAAATTTTAATTTTAACGAGATCATTCAGTACTGTGATGATTTTTTAAAGAATTCTCAGCCGGCAAATGGAATCTCAATGCAAGAGAGCTAAACGGTTTGAAAAAGAATATATGTCAAAGGAACCAACAATAGATGCAGTTGTATAAGAGCTTATTACTATTATTATTATTTTTATTAGATTGGGCGAAAATGATAATAATTAAGAAAGTAATGGTATTGATGGGCCAGGAATTAAATCGAGTAATTAAAAGAAAATGATGGGGCGCAAAACTTATTTGTTGAAAATATTAAAACTTATTTTAACTTGCAAATTTTATGTGTAAATGTGCTTGTAAATACTTATTACGTATTTTTATGAGAATATTTTTTAAATTTTGAAATATATCTTCCCCTATTTTACCCTTGACACATTTACAAGCCTATTCAGGTGCCTTTAATTATACTGATTTAATGCTTTCTGAAAGTGCTAAGACGGAAGCTTCTAAGTTAGTGTTTTATGAACAAAACTATTATTAATGCACTTAATAAATGAAAGCTGCTCTTCAGATTCTTTATTTTCATATTTCTCATAAATTAATATAAGGTGGTTATTTTGGATACGTTCCTTTATTTCTATTTTATTGCCGTAATTGCAGGTATTGCATTTCTGGACCATACCGAGCAAAAAGGTTTATCCAGGTAATCGATAGTGGATAGCTCCAAAGCGAACAAAAAAGGCATGACAATTTCAAAAATGGAACCCTTATTTTCTATAATATATGTATTATTAAGTTTTAGGAAGAAATATGTAAATAATTTAAAAAAATGCGAATAAGAATAATTGTTGCACGGACTGTACATTCAAGGGACTTCCTGTCATCTGTCTCTCTTGCACAGTGACTCTTTCACTCTTTCTTCTGTGCATCTCAGAGGACAAGCTAGAGTGGTTGACCTGTACTATATACAGTGTCAGCTGTTAAACGCTTTCCAATACGCTTTGCTTGTGTGAAAGTGAAAACTACAAAGAGTTCTTATTAGTGTGCGTAGGAAACAAATATTAAAGTTGCCAGTTTAAACGACCCGGCATACAACGAGATATATCTCCACGCTACCGGCTCGTTTAAACTGGCAACGTTAATATGCTAACTTTGACACTTCACTTTGACATTACCAAAGCGTATTGGAAAGCGTTCAATAGTCGACTCTGTATAATATTATTACTTAACGTCATTTTTCGGCCAATATTTTCAATCCTTCCATGGGAACTTGGCGTAAAGATGTAACATTTTTATCCCGCCAAACTCTGGAAACTATCCCCTTAATTTTTTTATCCAGGCCTCATTTAAATAATATATTTCCCTTCCTTGCTCGCGTGCTTTTTTTAACTGACCGTATGTAATTTCTACACCAGTGTATTATCTCATCCTTTTCCATTATCATGTTTTTATTATGTTTTTCGAAATTAAAATTCGTTTTCTCTAAAATATGCCATACAGTATTTCTCCCGATTTGCGGCAAATTCGAATCCTCTTTTAGATCAGATAGTCATTTATCTAATAAAGGCTTTACGTTTTTAAAAGAATTGGAATGGACGGTACGCTGAATACAATTTTTCGAAAATTCATCAATTTTATTCACCTTCAGTTTTTGTTCATTGCTAGTAAATAGAGCTTAACAACGTTCTCGGAACTTTAAAAATAAATACTAAATTAGCACCAACATTTCCAAAAATCCTCTCTAGCAATATAATTACACGTTAGATAACAGGATAAGTGGGAGTACATAAACAATAGATCTTATTGGTTGTAATTTTAAAAGGTCTTAAATAATGTAATCTACAATCTATAATAACTGCCCTTTTTCACTATATATTTCTCCAATAAAACAAAAACTTACCTCACAAGGTGGCGGAGCGCTTCTGTAAGAAGGTACAATCTTAAAAGTAACTGAACCTCGTGCTTCCCTCTGTAATCAAACGATCAAATTAAGCAATATGTAGTTAAATAAAACAATTATATGTAAGAAATGCGTCACTCATCACTCCTTATTGTATCTTACTGAATTGGTTTAGAGTGAATTTAACTAGAGCAATTCAGGTGCCATTGGGATACTCAACATTGTTTAGAAAGACATAATAATTCCAAAACCATTTTAGTTGTTTAATAATTGATTTAGGACACTCTAAATTAACTCATGGATATTTCGCATAGCTTGGAACAACAAAGTATTTCAGAAACATTCAAGTTGAATAGACAATGTCATTTGAAAATATTACAACTTCACTCTAACTCTAGATCAGGTGGGATTGGTTGTAGTTTAGTCATTGCTTTGCAGCCTAGATTGCTTGCTTGTTTGCTTGTCTGCTCCTAGGTAACTCTTTCTGCATGCCAATGGAGAAATACAATCACCTAGTGTCTGTCTCTTCGATGCACCGCTGAATATATTAATAATGCTGTTCTATGAACAACACTATTTGGAGTGAGGGTAGCCATATGTGAGTAGTAGGGATTAAGTGTAAAGGTTAAAGAAAAGGTCCTTTATTTCTCACAAGTCAATTATGGAATTAGTCAAGGTGTGCCTGATGATGAAGTGACAACTTCGAAACCGGTCGCCAATTAAATTGACTTGTGAGAAATAAAGGACCTTTTCTTTAACCTTTACACTTAACTAACTAAATGGCACTCCATCAATAACCCAAGCTGAAGGCTAAATGGCCGCTGGGAAAGCGGTTGCGAACGTTCCTCTGGGGGCACCTGGCGAAACCCTCTTGTATCCAGCCTTACCGGTGCATGCGAGGCTCTGCATCGGCCGACTTTTCTGTCCCTAGCTATTCGTGGGATTTACATGGCCAAGAAATTAATAGAAAAACAAAAACCGGCGGGACCACACCGCCCCCAAATATGATTAAACGGAGCCTGCCATCCGAAGCGATCAACCTCCCTCAACCTCTCAAGTGAGACAACCTCACAAGAGAGAAATGAGAGAACAAAAGAAAGAGGTGAAGGGAGAAGAGAAAAGGATCATCCTCTTTATCCTTCTCTTACAACTCATCGGCTACCTCCCCTACCTCAGCTGGGACAACCTGGTGGAAGGGACGACCCACTGAGGCAAGGACTCAGTGGGGCAGGGGTTCGGTGGTATCTTCACTACCTCGATCAGGGCATGATACCAGAAGAAGTGAAAAAGAAAACCATGAAGCACAAATCCCAAGGAGAGGGAAGTAAAACCAATCCTAAGAATCCGAAAAGAAAGCGGGACTGGAATAAAATCATACCACCGCAAAGGAAAGACAAGAAAAGGAAAGTTGCCGCTACCCTCGCTTCAGGCACTTATGCAATTGTTGTCAAGACGGAGCGGGTCGCGATTAGACCTAAGAGGTTCCCTGAGCCTATCCTCAGTGCGAACAAACAAACCCAGGTGGAAGAAGCCATAGTGAAAGAGATGTTCGCTGGATAGGGCATAAGCTCCAATTCGGAGGCATCCACTTCCGGCCAGGAATGGTCCTAATCGACTGTGAAACCCCTGAGCAACTGGGAGTGGAGTTGCAGGTATATGCGGAAGATGATATCCCGAAAGCACATACAGCCGCGCTCTTTCTCCCAAGAAATCAAGGGCAGCCTGTAGAGAAGCTTCTCCAGTTAATAGAAGCGCAGAATGTGGGGCTATCGACCACACTGGAAAATCGTCAGCCAAAAAGACAAGGGCACATCCTTAGGTTAGGAATAGATGGCCTATTCTGCCAAAGGATCAAATATAATGGATACACTATCCACTATCGATACGGGAAAATCCCCGTACACGGCCTTCAAAAGAAAGAGGAAATAAAGCAACTGGGAGAAGACACAGAAACCAACTCCTAATACTTCCAAAGATGAGACTTATGTAGAGAGCCTTAACCTCTCAAAACTCTACGAATACACATCTGAGGATGTAGAACTAGATGAAGAATTAGAAGAAGGGATATGGAATACACCCTCACCGATGGGACGGCAACCCCATTAAAGGAGAGTAAAATGGCGGGCATCGACATCGCCCAAGTGAATGTCAATCACGCCAAGAATGCCTTGGCTGTGATCTCCAAGACATTCACTAAAGACCAATTAGGGATCGTACTGATCCAGGAACCGTGGGTTTACGGGAACAAGGTAAGAGGACTTGCATGTAAAGATGGTAATTTATGACACTAGAGATGAAGTACCCAGAACATGCATAATGGGAAGAAATAATATTAAATATTCTTTTCTTTCAGAATTCATGACGCGTGATCTCGTCCCAATTAGATCATACCTGGAATTTAGGATGAGGAAACAAGACATAGTAATAGCTTTTAGTTACTTCGAGTAACAGAATACATCTGCCATTACTTCTTATATACGACGTCAACGCGCACAGCACCGTATGGGGAAGCAACGACACCAATCAAAGAGGTGAGCAACTTTTAGAATATATTTTTAATAACAATCTTATTGTGCAAAATAAATATTGAGAATACTCCAACATTTGTAACAAGTAAAGCAGTGAAGTATTAGATATCACATTAAGTACACCGAGCATTAAAGATTTAGTTACAAACTGGAGAGTATCGAGTGAACCATCTCGATCTGATCACAAGATAATTGTGTTTACGTTAGAGAGCAACACTCCTGAGAATGGGAGTCCCAGAATGGGACAAATACAACACCATTCTAAAACAAAATTTAGTATGTATCCAGACAAAAAAGTGGCCCAGGTACCCACTTGCTCTGGAAAGCGATCTCGAAGATCTAAATGGGGCAATACTTGAGGCATATGAATTAAGCTGCCCCATTTAAAGAAAGAACTAGTAGGAATGTTCCTTGGTGGAACTGTCATCTGTCAAAGTTACGATCCGAAGTGCAGAAACTCTATAATAGAACCAAGCACAGCTGCGATTGGCAGAGCTACACCGAGGCACTGACTATTTGCAACAAAGAAATTGGAAAAGCTAAACGTAACAGCTTTAGAAAATTCTGTAAAGATATTAACTCTACACCTGCGACACCGATACTTCACAAGGCCCTGGCAAAAGGGAGAGTTAATACAGTTGTGGCATTAAAGAAAAAAAAAATGAAGTTTCACGGACACTCACTCTCCTGAAAGCACACCTTTTCTAATAAAGGACACAACTAAGGTAAGCAAACCCCCAAGAGAGGCCGCTGTAGTGGGCAAACACATATGCAGCAGAAATCGGTTAAAGTGGGCCGTAAACACTTTTGAATCGTTTAAGTCTCCAGGTGTGAATGGAATATTTCATGCCCTGCTTCAGCGGGCACAGGAAGAATTACTACACATAATCCGGCTATCCCGGAGCAGTCTGGAATTGGGATATATACCAGAAGCATGAAGAAGGGCCAGAGACACCTTTGTTCCAATAGCAGGGAAAAAGGAAATCACATATCCTAAATCCTTTCGTTCAATCGCCTCACATCCTCTGTATTAAAAACAATGGAGAAGGCTATTGATTATTATATCAGAACTGAAGTCCTGGAGAGGGTGCCACTCCACCACAGCCAGCACGTGTACCGAGCATGAAGATCTACAGAAACTGCCCTGGACAACAAACTTCTCTGAAACACAAATGAGAAATAAGTAGTAAATAAGGCCACAAAAGCCCTAATGGTATGCAGAAACATTGCGGGTAAACGATGGAGATGTAACTCGAATACACTGCGATGGATGTATACTGCAATAGTGAGACCAATCATCACTTACGGGGCTATAGCCTGGAGTAACAGAACTAGTTTAGCTACTACGAGAGCTAATATCTCAAAAGTACAAAGACTAACCTGTGTTTGAATCACCGGTACAATGAGAACCTGTTGTCCTACGGCCGCAATGGAAGTGATCTTAAACTTCACCCCTCTATATTTAATGATAGAGAATGTAGTAAAAAAAAAACACGATATAGAATGATCAGAAATGGAGTAATCAGATAAAATTCTACTAGCTTCAGGACCAAAGATACTTGGGATATGCTCCAGGATGAAATGGAAAAGAAGTATAGTTTTGTGAAAAACTTCAAAACCACAGAGCTGGGCTGCAAGAAGGAATGGAGCCAAGAATCCATCGCGATTGCAACCGAAATACATGCTATTCAGTGGTATACGGATAATTCCAAAACCATAGAAGGAACTGGAATAGGAGTGTATGGGCCTAGAACCAGGCACTCCGAAAGTTTGGGAAAATATCCAAGCATCTTCCAGGCGGAAATTCACGCAATTGGGAAGTGTACCAGTTTAACATCAAAAGAAACTATCGTAGACAAGAGATTATCATCATTTTCGATAGCCAAGCAGCCATCAAAGCACTGAGTTCTTACGTAATCAGCTCAAAAATGGTTTGGGGCTGCCTAGAAAATTTAAATGAGCTAGGCGAGAAAAATAGAGTTACTCTCACTTGGGTCACGATACATAACTAGGTACAGGGTTAGGAGATTGCAGATAGTCTCGCAAGGAAAGGGGCTCAAACACCATTTGTGGGACCTGAGCTGTTCTGCGGCATCAGCAGTAACATAATGTTAGGAGAGATTAATAAAGAATTGGATAGTAGAAGAAACGTTAATTAAAATAATCTCTTGGGGCTAAGACAGGCTCGGATACTTCTGGGTGAATATAACTAGAAAAGATCGGAAGCTTGCATCTGCCTAAGCAAGAACAGGCTACGTATTGTAACAGGGATCCTTACTGAGCATTGCCAACTAAAAGGACACCTAAGTAAATTGAGAGTAGTAGAAGATAGCGAGTGCAGATGCTGTGAGGAGGAGAACGAAACCTCCATTCGCATTCTAACTGAATGTGTAGCACTCCAGGGCACTATACCTAAGAGCATATCAAATAGAAGAGGGAGAGTTACCTAACTTGAAGCCACTCCTAATGCTACACATCCTTGAGAAGATAGGATTGATAGGGTCGTTATAGGCACTTAGCCATTTTCTTGGTGTATTAGCGACAGAAGGGGGCACAATAGATCTTTTAGGTCGCAGTGTATTAACACCCTATTCTTAACATAACATAACTAGGTCGATTCAAATACATCAGGATCTATCCAGATATGTAGCTTCGAACGACTTGATGTATTTTAAGAAATATTTTAGCTATTATCGTAACAGTCGACAGCCGTATGCACAGTCGATCGCCAGCGACTCGCCAGAGATTCATTTCGGCGCATCGCCAGCGAACCGCCGGCGAAAGCCCAAAAAGGTGGCGACTCGCTGGAGATTGTCACCGGCATGTCATTTTACGCAAGTTTTCAAGTTCTTTTTAAGGGAAAAATTTGTTATTCGTTCATTGTTTTTTGAGTTTTAAGAAATGAATCAATAATAAAATGCGAGAGATGCCGGTGATAATCCCTATAAAAGAACATGAAAACTTGCGAGAAATGACATGCCGGTGACAATCGCCAGCGGGTCGCCACCTTTTCGGGCTTTCGCCAGCGGATCGCCAGCGATTCGCTGGCGATCCGCCGGCGATCCGCCGGAATGAATCTCCGGCGAATCGCTGGCGATCGACTTTGCATACGGGCGTATATCATTTTAGAACGTTTGAATACTCTAAATCGAGGTAGGTAATTCTTGTACCAATCTAAGTAATCTAGAAGTTATTTTTGCTGCATCAGTGAGAATTTGAGACATTCCAAGTATCCATCTAGACATTTCCGATCCAGTCTATTTGGGCAAACTCTAGGAATAAGTCATATAATTCCAGTAACAATCTACTTTAAACAATTTCGGGTGGTTTAGAAGGATTCTAGATGAAATTAAATGTTTAAGCAACAATAATTTAAATAAATCTGAAACATTTTTTATCTTCGAAGATCAGCCTAAGTAAAGCTTATTTTAAACATTTCTAGAATAACTTAGTTTAGCTTTAGACGTCTATATGTTATTTTGTTTTCCAGAGATGCCTGCAGTTTTTAAAAAAATTCTAGTGACCTTTTATAGACAATTTCAGAGAAAAATAGATTTGCAGCAATTCCTTCACAGCTATTTTCTATGATGTGACGCATTGAGGGAATTGTTCTAAAATGCAGGTGACGTAAAAATACTTACGAGAATTTTTTGGAGCGCATTGACAGATTGGTTAATGACAGGAATTCCATTAATTTCTCTAATTTCGTCACCTACGTGGAGGGTGGCTTGTCGATGGATCATACCACCGTGCATTATCCTAGCCACTATACATTTTCCATCTTCGTTCATTTTGAGCGTTATACCCTGCAAGAATAAAATCATTAATTCAAAGTGATATTGCATCATTCAAAATATTTATATTATAAAAACAGTAGTAGGGGATAGGAGGGCACATTGCATAATAAACGGCGTATTTGAAATGTGGAAATAATATTTAAAACAGAGCCAGTTATTGGTAGTTGTCTAACCTCTCATTGCGAGCTTACAGACCTAGCAAGAAAATCCATGGTAATTTGATTATCATCGTTCGCGTAGGTGTTGGAAGCAGGCGGTTTGTAATTAATTTTTCGCGTAGAGATAATTTAACGAGTGGTATCTGATAGCGACAACCGTTCATTTCGATGACGTTTTAAATATAAAAATTAAAATTGTGTCTTTTAATGTTAATTTTTGTTTTTCTTTTAACATTTTGATGACATTTTATACAAAAGACGTGAAGTTTTTTACGAAATTAATTTTTACGAATTTCGTCACGGTTGTGGTTTTTAATTAAAATTCAAGGGGTTGCTAATTTAATGAAAATTAAATGGGCTTTTTTGCTGAATGTGCCTTTGAATTGTCATACAAAATACTGATATTCGCCTTTATGTGCACTGAGCCAAAATAACTTGTTAAACACTATAAACATTCCAAATTATAAAAAAAATGTATGGTCAGATTGCATTTTTCCTTAAATAAAGACTATAGCAAAAAGCAAAATGTAGGTATAATAGTAATTTGACTTTTCTGGCTGCGCTTTTGACAAATTCATTAATTTCCATATTCAGCTGTTTTAAAAATTCAGAATTTATAGAAATAATAGCAAGATTTTCTAATTTTCTAAAGTTATTAATATAATAAATTAATTATTATTTTTAGAATTTACGATTCTATAACAATGGTCTACTTCAAATTACTATTGAGTACAAAGTATAATTAATATTGAATAGTAAGTATAATAATAAAAATAATAATAATAATGAATTTATTTACACCTATTTACAAAATATAATAATACAATCTTGAAGTATAAATAAATGAAAAGAAATCGATAAGTGAATTTTTCACTTCTTTCGATACAATTACAATTACAATCACAAAAACAATAAAATAGAAAAACTTACAATAAATGAACATAAATACAAAAAAATTATAGATCATAAAATTACAAAGATCAAAAAGTGTTAGTAAAGCTTAATATGTATATACAAATAATATATTTAGATACAATAAATTTAGATAAATATAAAAAATAGAGAACGCTGGATCTAGGAATTTTCAACTATACAAATTATTGACTGTCGAGTTTGTTCAAGTAGGTATGATTTTAAATATTTTTTAAATTTATGCGGATTAGTTATTACTCTTAATTCTAGTGGAATCGTATTAAACAATTTTGGGTTCATGTATGTACAGGAATGCTGCCCAATTGATTTTTGCATATAGAGAGTTACTTGAAATTGTTTATTCCGTGTGTAGTAAGTGTGTGAAGATACAGCGAAGTCTGGCAACGCCTAATTGTCTCAATAAATTTTTTAATACAAACTATTTTCAACTACATTAAAACGTAACAATTGAAAGATTATAGCATTTTTAACATAATGGTTACTTTATCAAGTGTTCAAAATGTGCTCCATTTGTGAGTTGGCAGTACCCTAATCGATGGTAGAATGCGTCTACCACATTTCTCCATGATTGTTTTATTTATTTAAGACCTTCCAGACTACATAAAATCATAAGTGTTACATATGGTTGAACTCGTATTGAATAAGAGATTCCAATAATGACTGAATATACAGAGTGATAAATTTGAAAAACCAAAGTGACTAATAATATAAGAGAAACGGCAAATCTGGCAACATTGCAAATATCAAATCTGGAATCTCCATATCCTAAAATAGGTGTATCCCAAGTTTTGTACAGACTTTTGGGCCACTCCGTATATTTGTTGCTACTGGTAATAATATTTAGTAGATTGAAGGAGGGAGCTGTGGATTTATTACAGAAAAAAGGTATGTAAAAGGTTTTTTCAACGTTTATTGTTAGGAGTTTATAGTTTAACCAGTTTTGTATTGCAGGAAAATCGTTTTCCACCATGTTTTTCAGTTGCTTCCATGTGTCAGCAGTATAGAAAATCGCCGTGTCATCTGCGAACCCCAAAATTTCACCCTTTCACCTAATCAAAAATAAATTATTTATATACAAATTGAATAGGAGCGGACCTAAGATAGTGCCTTGGGGCACACCATATTTAATGGGTATGACATTTCTGTAGCTATTGGCTATCCTTCATCATCTGAATTAGGGCGTGGTTCAAAGCCCACTTGTACTGAAGCTCTAGGCTTATTGTACCCCTCACAGTTTCTATCCCATCAGATTGATTTTCTTGATGAATTCAAGAAAATGTCTGATGGGCGCTTTCGCGATTTCTTCAGGTTCCGGATATTGTACCCCGAAGTACCATTCCCGTTCCCATTTAAGGTTCCGGCAGTGGCATAGTATGTGAATAGGAGTTTCGTCCTCCTCTTCACATATTCTACATAGGGAGTCATCAGATAACCCTAAGAGGTGTCTTCTAAGGCCGCAGTGTCCCGTAAGGAGTCCTATTACGGCCTTGAGTTTGCTTCTGCTAAGGTTTAGCAGTTGATGTTGTCTGCTCGTGGATGGCCCCTCTATGAATCTTTTGGACAAGTCCAGGAAGTTCCATCCAGAGCCTATGGTGATCTCTTTTTATTTGTTCCTTTAACACCCATTTAACATGTTGGTATGAGATACCACATGTGGGTTCTGGTCCAATAAGAGTTTTTTCCGCTCCCTTCCTTGCTAGGAGGTCTGCTTTCTCGTTTCCAAACACTCCCTCATGTCCTGGCACCCATTCAAGGGTAACCTTGTTATGTTCTGCCAGAGCCTGGAGGGATTGTTGGCAATCAAATATTGATTTAGATTGTACTTCTACCCTTTTTAGTGCTCTTCAATATAGGGTGATACGATTTTCAAAATATCATTTTTAAATCCCTGGTGCTTTTTTTGTTTTTAAATTAGTTATTATATTTCCTATTTCTTTTGCATCAGTAGGGTACAACACAAAACTATTTGGGGGACATGTTTTTGGAGGAATATACTGAGGGTCTTGTATAATTTGTTTTACTATAGTTTCTCCTATTTTTACAAATATTTTATTAAATTGATAAGTTATTTGGGTTGAATCTGTTTTATTTCAGGATTCTTTTTATTACAATGTGACATATCATTAATAATTTTCCAAAGTTGCTGTGAATCAGATTTATTTTTATTTATGAAATTTTGATACTTTTTAATTAAATTTGTTATATTATTTCTAACATTATTGTATTCACTTTTTAAATTTTCATTACTAGGATACCTTTTTACTTTTTTGTGTAGTTTATTTTTATTATGAATTGTTCTGACCAGTTTATTAGTTATCCAGGGTGCAATTTTTGAATTTTTTCTATATACGTTGGCGTTTTTTGTACACTTATTTATGTGGGATGTTATAATGTCCACAAATTTTTTTGTTATAGAGTCAGGTTTACTGATTTCAAAGATATTATTTCAAGAAATCTGATGAAATTGGTTTTTTAAATTTTCATAATTAATATGTGGTTTAATATGTTGTATACGATTAGACATATTTTTGTTATTTTTAAAATTGTGAATTAACTGTAACGCCGTGGAATAATGATCTGTAATGCTAGTTTTTATTATTAAACGTATAACGTGTTCCAACATAGACTGGTTTTTTACTTTTACAAAAATATGGTCAAGACATACCTTGTAGTAATACAAGAAATACAAGTAATACAAGAAAAAGTAGTAAGAAAGAAAACACATAGTTGAAAGCATATTGATAAGTACCATGATAATGCATTGATAACTGCAAAATATAAATATATAATAGTGTTAACTAATGTAAAAGCTAAAAAGACAGTAGATTTTTGACTTCAAAATATTACGATTTGATCCATGTTGAAATTTTTGGTTTTTGGGTATGAATAATTATAATTTCGTACTAAAATCAGAGTGTAGGGTTTTAATATTATTAGATCAAAGTAAGGCATTTGATTTAGTAATCTTCAGTTAATATTAGAAAAGTTAAAATACTAATGTTTTCATAGGAATAGTTTACTGTGGTTCAGCAACTACTTAAATGATAGGAGGCAGCTAGTTAGGCTTGCAGGTACATACTCAGATTGTAGGAGAGATAATATTTAAAGGGGTACCTCAAGAAATTGAACTTGAACCTCTGCTCTTTTCAATTTTTACTTATGATTTACTAAGATGCTTCACTTACATGAGCTATCATTTCTATGCGGCGATTTACAACTCTATATAGGAATCCACAATATTAATATAGAAAATAATATTAAAACCGACGCCCCTGGGTCTGATATTTTTTTATTCTTTTCTTTAAATATTTTGTTGCGTTTTTCGAGGAAATATCAATCGCTTTCTATTTTGCACGTTTTTTGTTCATCGGGTGTAAATTGTTGAAAGGCAAACTCGAACTTAGGGGGCGGTCCGCAAGCCGGATATCGTTCGGACTGATTTTCTGGGTATTATAATACGTGAAAGTTGGGTAGGTCCGTTACTCAATCTTTCTTTGTTTAATGCATTGACTAAATGGGAAAATTAAAGTATAAATACGGCGTTCAAAAGTAAGAACTTGGTTGGAATTCTTCCTGCCTTTCTCACGTCCAGTTGACAAAAAAGTGTAAGATTCAGTTATCTTTAAGGTGACTCTTTTCTATATACTCTTCCAGTATATTAAATGGTGACAGCTTTTTTTGTTATATTTGGAAAACGCAGTAAAAGATATCGAGGGAGCAGATAAATTATTTTCTCTATGAGACGACTTCTGTTGCGATATCTTTTTCTTTGTTGTGAGGTTCCCCGTGTGTAGACTTTAGCGATAATCGTGTCTTCTTTTTAACCGACTTCAAAAAAGGAGGAGGTTATCAATTCGTCGCGATATTTTTTTTTTTTATGTATGTTCAGCGTTTATTCTTTAACACGATGTCCGATTT